CGTGGGAATTAGGTTCATTAGACTTTAGGATCATGAGTGAAAAAAAAAATTTTAATATGTGTTTATTTATTTATTTTTAATCAATATAGCATTTTAAAATAATAACTTTTTTATTTCTATCGGTTATAACCGCCAGAATACTAAAATAATAACCGCCAAAAATTAAAATAATAAAATAGTCAATTTATGTCAGTTATAACTGCCACCATTAACTTAAAAACCGCCAGAATCTGTCAAAAATATTTTTAAAAAAAAGATTCAAAATATTGTCGGTTTTAACCGACAGGATTTTTTTGATATCCACCACTAAATATCCGCCAGGAATTTATTCAGATATAACCGACAAGATTTTTCTAATATCCGCCACCTAAAGCTAATATTGTAGTAGTGTTCCAACGCATGAGGTTATTCTAGATTACGGTGATGTCTTAGATGAGACGTACCGGCCTCCCAAGAATCGTGAGATTTCGGTCCATTATGTAGTATTGGATGAGGTTTGGAATCGAAATGAGATGATTGTCGATGATGCATTCACGTATACAGTTGCTTCCGACATCATGCTTAGCAATGACATTGAACCACATTCGTTGATGAATGTTGACTTAGAACAGATTGGTTAAACTGGAAACAAGCAATCCAGGTCTAACTCAATTCGCTTGCAAAACGTAAAGTGTTTGGGCCTGTAGCTCCTACTCCACCACATGTGAAGCTTGTGGGCTACAAGTGGGTTTTCTTGAGGAAGCGTGATGAGAAAAATGAAATAATGCGATAAAAAGCATGTCTCGTAGCGCAAGGCTTCTCTTAACTCTCTGAGATTGATTACGAGGAGACATATTCCCCTATAATGAATGTTATAACATTCCGCTACCTTATCAGTTTGGTAGTTTCCTAAAAACTAAATATGCAACTTATGGACGTGATAACCGCGTATCTCTATAGGGATTTAGATACGAAAATCTATATGAAAGTTCCAAAATGACTTGCATTGACTGGTTCAAATAGTTTTAGACCATGGAACACTCTCTCGATTAGATTGAGGAGATCACTTTACGAATTGAAACAATCCGGGCGGATGTGGTATAACCGTCTGAGTGAATACTTAACAAGTCAGGGTTATATGAACAACGAACTATGCCCGTGTGTGTTCATAAAGAAGTCATATTCCGGATTTGCAATCGTTGCAATTTATGTCGACGACATGAACCTTATCAGAACTCCTTCAGATCTTGAGGAAATTGCCGTTCACTTGAAATCGGAATTTGAGATGAAAGATCTTGGGAAAACTCGATATTGTCTCTGCATGGAGATCGAGCAAAGTTCAGATGGAATCCTAGTACATCAATCGAACTACACCCAAAATGTGTTGCGACATTTTAATGAGGATAAAGCAAAGCTTTTGAGTACTCATATGGTCATTCGGACTCTAGATGCTAAACGAAATCCCTTATGTCCCAAGGAGGATGAGGAAGAGATTTTGGAGCCTGAAGTTCCATTCCTAAGTGCAATTGGTGCTTTATTGTATTTGGCTCAATGCACTAGACTCGACATCTTTTTTGTCGTTAATCTTTTGGCTAGATACAACAATGTGCCTACATGCAGACACTAGAATTGTGTTAAAGACATTTTTCTGTACCACAAGGGTATGACAGATTTGGGCTTGTTCTACACCCATGAATCCTCAAGAGGAGCCGCTTGATTCCTGCTTCATTGGTTAGGTAGATGCTGATTATCTGTCCAACCCACATATGACACGTTCTCAAACGGGCTATGTCTTTACTGTTGGAGACACTGCTATATCTTGGAGGTCTACCAAGCAAACACTAATTGTGACTTCTTCAAACCATGTTAACATTGTCGCCCTGCATAAAGCATTACGTGAGTGCTTTTGGTTGAGAATAGTCATGTAACATATTTGAAGCACTAGTGGTCTTACCTCCGTCGTTGACTTTCCTACAACGATTTTTGAAGATAATGCAGCATGTATCAAACAGTTAAAGAATGGATACATCCAGGGAGACAACACCAAATGCATAGTGCCAAAGTTTTTTTATTCTCACCAGCAACAACAACATCAGAATATTAAAGTCAAGCAAATTCATTCCCAGGACAACCTAGCCAATCTCTTCACCAAGTCATTGCCCAAGTCTACTTTTCAGAAGCTCGTCCAAGGAATCAGTATGCGTAAATTATCTGAGTTGAATTGCTTGCAGTTTTTTTATTTGGAAGTTATGTCTAATTCAAGGGGAGTATCCAGAAGCAAACTCGTTTGATCTTAATGTACTCTTTTCCCTACAATTAGAAGCATTTTTCCCACTAGGTTTTTGCTACCTAACAAGGTTTTAATGAAGCACCCATCCTGGGCTCCGTTGAGTTCACTACTTTCGTCCTGTTTGATGTTTGTTTTAGACACTATGCATACTTCTCACTTTTCTCCTTAGTCTATGGGTTTTTACCTACCTTAGGTTTTACCATAGCAAGGTTTTGTGAGTTTTACTACCCATGCATACTTTCTTTTAAATTTGAGACTTGCATTCACCTGTTGTGTCGACGACTTCATCAACTGGTCTACCTCATCTACTGAAGATCTGATCTGATGTTTTGTTTGAGTATTTACACACTTAAGGGGGAGTGTTGCAGTCCTATTAGTTTAGGAATGTGATTGTGTAAATCCTAGTGTATGTAGGGATATCTTGGAATTTTCCTTTTAGTAGTTAATATCATATTAGAGTTATAATCCTAACAGGGTAAGGATTTAACCTATCTTACTACTATAAATAAAGGCACAATAGGGTGATACAACACACACCTCAAAATTGCATCTCTCTCTTCTCTCTCTCTTACAGTCGGCCATCTCCCTCTCTAGTCCTAAATAAAGTTTAGTAAATTAGAATTACAACAATTTTTACCATATATTCGTATCAGTATTTTATATCATCAAGAAAATAACTTGGACTATTACGCAATCAAATTTCCCTACCTCCCCAAAACCCATCCAGCCTTACCCAATCAACTAGGCTCTAAGGGGTCTCGTCTCCACACACGGGCTCAAATCACCTAGCCCACTCACTGAGTGGATCTGATGTTAGCCTGGTGTCAACCACGTGAACTTTTTTTTTCGACGAGGCGTGAGCGTTATATGCACAAATTCTGGCGATTGAGCCAACACAAATACAAAGATGGGGACTCCGTTGTAGGTGTACTCGACTGATTACAGGTGGAGGCGACATGGCTTTGTTTGGGCCCTTGGATCTCCAAATGCTATATTTCTAGGCCATTGTATTTCTAACAGTTAAAAAAATTGAATTTAAAAAATAACGGCAAGTACACGTGGCAAATTCTGGGCTGTGAGATATTTTGACCAACGGTCCATATTTTTCGGGCTTAAAATAATTTTTTTTTATAAGTGTTTTTCCTTGAAAGAACAAACTTAATTAAAAAAGAAAGGAAAAATCAGAAGAAGAAAAAAAATCCTATTGAGCCAATTTCATTAGCTTCCATAATTTGACCATGAACATTAGCGCAATCAAACATCCACATAAAAAAGAATAATAAAAAAACATTAACAAAACTTGAAAAGAAGAAGAAAAAAAAGTCAAATTATTCAACCATTCTCCAGGAACACATTCAAAGCATTGAGTCAATTTGAATTAGAACTCAAAAGGTTTTTACCCTATCGTGAGCATGTGGTATGAGTTAAGGAAATGGGGAAGTGAGCAATACTACTAGACTATAGTAAGAGCATCCCTAATGGGAGCTCTATCTTTCATGATGCTACCATATTTAAAGCCCTAGTGAGAAATTTCATCTCCAATGAGCTAGAAAATGGGGTTATATCCACCACAAAGGCTATCAATTTCCTTTATTGGATAGCAAAAAGTTAGGCTACGTATAGCCCCAAAAATTAGTGGGACCCATATAAAAAATGGAGCACATACTTTTTTTTTTCTTATTTTTAATTCAAAAATGGAGCCCACCATGTATCATATGATGCAACAGCTTCGAGGACAATGATTGGGTGTCCTTTGTGTCCAGTATAAGCACCATGGTATGCTACTGGACATTTGATCCAATCCCAGTGCATGCAATCTAGGCTCCCAAGCATACCAGGAAACCCTCGTTCCTTAGCTTTTCTCAAAAGTCTTTGCAAGTCACCCTTCGTTGGTTTACGATGATATTCTGGTCCATAGACGGCGTTGATGGCATGACAGAACTTCTTGCAAGACTATAAAGTTGTTGTCTTTGATTTCGGAGAATGTGTCAATTAGAGAAATAAACCAACATATGAGATTGAGATAAGATAATTCAATCTAGTGGTTGTCATGAAGTGAAATCTTATCTTATCTGATTGCATAGAGCAAACAAACGGATGAGATTAAGATAAGAGAACCTAATCCGACTGTACATATGTGAAGAAATCTAACTTTGTCAGAATTTGAATTTTTTTAGGTTCAAAAGTTCATTAAAAAAATTAAGATAACACGCTAAAAATCAATTTAAGAAAAATTAAGATAAAAATAAATTTATTGCATAATCAAATTACTATATAAATAAATATATAGCTCCATATAGAGCCCGAAAGATATATATCCCCTCATTAGGAGTGATTCTTTTATAAAGCCCCTAAAGATTCTTCGGAGCTCTAAAATGAGCTATATTTATCACTTTTTCAGCCCTATATAAAGCCTCTCACTGGGATGCTCTAAGAGTCTAGAAATCCTAAGGAAATAAGGATTCGTAATCCTACTTGTTTACGTTAATATGTTTCCATTTATTATTATTTCTGAATCCTGGTTTCATTTGGAAATATGATCCTACCCTAACAAGGAAACACGCGCATATAAGTGGTCTATATAAACGCTATATGCCTACCTCAAGTATTTCAGATTTATCTATTGCTTCATTCGCCTTCGGAAGAACTACAGTAGCTCAAACACTACTAATTCGATCGTGTGTTAATTAGTTTCTGGTTAATTTTCTTTATTTCTCTTCGTGATCCACCTATGGAAGCTGTAAGTGATCGGCAAGTGGTGGGATACCATTGCGAATCGAAGCAGGCGGAGGTTTTTGAACCTGACAACGAATTGCCATGGACCCAATTCTTGCTGGGTGTCGATGCCAGAATATTGACAAGTCAGCCTGCCTTGCATTCCGAGGACGACGACGATTCACTTCCAGTAGAAGAAACCTACTTCGACGAACTCGAACTCGATTTGTTGATGGATGAAGACAAGTCAAGGGCTGCCCTAGCTGAGGCCCTGGTTTCTAGCCTGCATGTCCCTCCTCAGATTTGCCACTCCGTGGTGGATAAAATAGTACAAGATTTCCTAGTCGCAGAAACTGATTCTCGACCTTACAGTGATCGCATGCTTGTTCATATGCCAGTGTCCATCGTTGTTCTTGTCGATGAATTTGGAGGCCTGGACACGGATGACCCTAAATTTGTACCTGCAAGTAAGTCATCGATCGAGAAGCTGGAAAGGGTGAGAGTGGAAGTATCAGCAGATTGTTCAATTTGCATGGAGGAGATGGAGGTTGGTTCGGAAGCAATCCCCATGCCGTGCTCGCGCTCGCATCTTTACCACGACGACTGCATTCTCGAGTGGTTGAAGAAAAGTAGGGTTTGCCCACTGTGCCGCTTCGCCATGCCTCCCGAAATAATAACAACACAAAATTAAGTGATTAATTTGGCCAATGAGGGCTTTTGCTTCACGATTCGCTCAACATTAATTGTTTTGTTTTGATGATATCTATTAATCCATTTGTAAGTTTGTGTAATTAATGTAAAAGTTTGATCAGTTACTTGTTTCTTGAGTCTACATATATGGAATTAAAATTCTTTTTCTTATCTTTTATGGAATGGTGGCTATATGTTCTTTGTCCAATCTAGGATATGATCCAAAAAGATAAAACGAAATCAAGCCGACAAAAACAAAAATCAAACATGAAACAGTGTCATGTCGCTCAACAAATACGTTCATGTGACTGATTTAGGATTTGTTCCTTATTTTAGATTTTGTGTTATTCCTTTAGTACTACATCATATATGCTTCGAGTTGTGAGTTTACTTGATTGTGGCCACGGACAAGTGAAATTCCTCATAATCTCTCTGGTCCTAAAAATAATGGATAACCGTGGCATGCCACCAGTTGTCATTTTTTTTTAATAAAAAAGAACTCTATCATAGATGGAAGTTTAGTTAAGAGCCGCAACTCCACCATTAAGGAAAGGAAACATTTATGTTTAGAGAGATTATTTCCTTCGGAACAAAATATATGTATTCATCATAAATTGTATGTGATTTAACTCCAACATTTGTATGGGTAAATTGAGAAATGAAAAGTCTGCAATCAACTAAACTAGTCTCTCAGTGCTACGGTCTGGTGGTATTCTTTTCACTTGGAAGTGAAATGTATTAGATTCGAACTCCCCTTTCCCTTAGTGTAAAAATATCGATGTACTAAAAAAACTAAACCCAAACACAACCAGTATTGGCTAGTTTGTTATTGGCGTAGCTCTTTTCAAACACCCAGAACATAAGACGGTACAACATGTGTCATGATATAAGTGAATAAACGATATAATTTTCAGTTTTTTTCACCTGATTCTGATAGGTGAGTAACCTTGTGTTCGAAGTACAGTAAAAATTTTCTCACGTTGAAAGGGTTTTAAACCGTGGACTTGACCTACTCTTGTAAATTGTTTATTTAACAGTGAATCATAATATTTGGAGGCTATATTTAAGAACAATGTTAATCAATTAATTATGTAAGAAACTAGAATTTTTGTGATAAAAATAAATAAATAAAAATCCCAACGGCTTCGCGTCTTCCTTTTTCCTACCCCAGGACTCTCTCCATCCTATTCCTTTTTCCAACCCCAACCCCAACTAAGACCCTTTGAATTCTACAAATATCCCACACATTATACCGCTCATTCTTTCTGCTGATGGTGGTCACTACGGAGGAGACCTGGGAGGTTCTGGGCGACGTTTACTGCAGCACGAGGCTGCTCGGTGTTTCTGAAATCCCGAAAATGGAGGACGACTTGAAATCCAAGTTGTGGTTGGACGTTAAGGCCAATGTTACGGTGATGGTGCTGCCGAGGATCTTAGAGGACGAGGAGGATTTGGGGAACCACTACAAAGTCATGCTTTTAGAAGATATTGATCAAATGGGGAAGAGCATCGACAGCATTGATTTTGAGGACAAACTTGAGATTGACCTAGACAAGACCGCCATGTCGCCGGCCGCTTCCAAAGCCGTCTCTCGCGCGCTTTCTGGCCTGATCAACGTCCCTTTGCGGACTCTTTTGTCCGTGGCCGATACAATCGTGTGTGAGGCCCTACGTGCTAGGGCAAGGTGTACCAGTCTTGTGCACATGGAGGCACTCATCAAAGTTGAAGTGGTTGAGGAGTCGGATGATGATGGTATGAACGTAGAGCCAGCGTTTGTACCTGCAACAAAATCTTCCATTGACAAGTTGGAGGGTAAGAGCGGAAGCCTCATCGGGGTTTTGCTGTTCTATTTGTATTTCGGAGATTGGAGTGGGTACTGAAGGACTTCGCATGCCGTGTTTGCATCTTTACCACGAGAACTGCATCGTTGAATGGTTGGAGACGAGCAGGTTCTGCCCGTTGTGTCGAAATTTGATGTATTCATTTGTTAATTTGTGTTATAAGATATTCTCCCCTATTGTTTCTTGAGTCCAACTCTCAATTGGTTAAACAAATTCTCCTTCAACTGAAAACACTGCTGAACTACTGGGGGGAAATGGTAAAAAATGGAACGATAGGGACTTAATGTTAAATCAGGCCGAACTACAAGGACTAAAATTGCAATTTGTCCTATAAAAATTTGACAACCTAATTTGACCTAAAAAGGACTTTACATATTTAACAACAAAATTCATGTTTAAGGAACTTACCGTTCCTGCAGACCTAGGGCTTAACAGTAATGCAGTGCACATAGTCATCTCTACAACCAACAAAAATTCTGCCTCCAATCATCACAGGTGAAGAGAATACGTCTCCTCCGAGGTCCAGTCTTGCAAATTCCTCAACATCCATTCGTTGATTTGCAACTTTGGCAGCACCCGAGTTAACCCGGAGCAAGTACACGCTTCCTGAGCTGGAACAGACACAAACCAACCTGGAAAAGGTTGTGGATAGATATGAAAATGATCACTTAATGTTCATGTTATTTAAAGTCTTCTGCAGTTATTTACCTGTCCGGCAAGTTAGGCGGATCAGATGCCAAGCTCAAGTGCTCATCCACATAAGCGGATGAAGTAATCGGATCCTTAACATTGTATTCCCAAAGTAAATCTCCAGTTTCCTACAGCAAACATAGCAGTGTTGAACGTGCAGTACAATATACTGAATATGAACAAATTATGCTCTTTCTTTTACAGAATGTTAGGAAATAGGGTGAATCCAGTATAATTAAGCAATCAGTACCAATCTGTTTTCCAAACTATCTTTCTGAATAAAATTAAAACCAGCAAGTTTTGCAAATTCAGAAGAGTGAATGCAAACTGCCTATCAGCCCTATCAGATTCTATTAAGAGAACAAAATGGACAAATTCCAATTTGCTCGTGTTTTTATGCCAAACAGTAAAAACAGGCCATTTAGAAAATTTCCGAGATTATGAAACACAAAACTTGTAATGAATATAGGACCGCTGGTTCATGAGATTATTGGATTATTTACTCGTACTAACTTATTTTCTCGTCCATATTAAAAATTTCAGGTCATTTATCAAGTTCTGTGACATTATACTTATAGATCTCAGCTTGTAGTTCATGCGAGCCATTAAATTTGAAATCCAATTAAAACTGTGTATTAGGAACACTACCAGACTCAAATTGAGACAAAGCATTGTAACTAGATTGTCGTAAACTAGTAGTATTACCAGAAATTATTTATTATAAAAAGGTTGCTTAGAACAGATAAAATTCTTCCATTCTTTAGGAGCAATAAAATATTACACTCGCATTTGCCTAATCGAGTAGAACGCCACTCGGTGCTCATCCTACAACTGGCCTTGCCTATAGTTATAGTGTTGAACACACATAAGTAGAGGTTTTGTTGTCCTTACAAAGGTTGTCAAAGACTGGGGCTTTGCACTTCGCAACCCTATCCGAGTATGTGCTTAGTGCAACTTTTATGGTTAAGCCACAGCATAAGATTCGAAATTGGAAATTCAATCATTACAGAACAGAAAAGCTATCAATGGTTATGCCAAAATTACTAAAAGCATGCAGATTTTCATCCAAACATATACTGCACCTTACCAGTTTAAGTGAGTAGATGCTTCCATCTCTAGAACATACGAGTACCTACAGAATAACCAAGACAAAACAATCTTTATAAGAAAAATACGTTGTTCAATACGACCTAGGCTAATTCCATATGCAGTGTGGGCAGGGACATCATGAATTAACATGTAAAAACAACAAAAAACAGAAAATGCCTGAAATTGTTAATCAGATTTTGAATAAATATTTGAATAAAAAGGTCTAGCCCTACATAGCATACCCAAACACTACAGCAATAAAACATAAGCATGCGATTAATATTTACCCTCACTCCTATGTTACTTACATTCACTTAAGAATTAAGCGAACATTCTTACACTATCCAGATGGGGCCAATTATAACGATAATTAGCTTATTTGAACAGGACCTCAGCCCTAAGGTTTTAATCTCTCTGTTAAGATCTCTTTTGCTGCAATGAAATTAAAAAGAAGGTTGATATCTATTTGGTAGTTACAATAATTACAATCACAGGTGTGCCGTAATCTTGTGACAACCAAAGTCGAAGGGTATAATTTTTGTGAGGATGGAAAGGTTCTTGCTACAGAGAACGCGGTTAAAGACAGATGGAGAGGTTATTTTCATAATCTTTTCAATGAAGGACATGAAATGAGTGCTTCTTTAGGGGAGTTGAGTAACTCAGAAGAGTGTAGAAACTACTCTTTTTATCGTCGAATCCGGAAGGAAGAAGTGGTTGTAGCTTTGAAGAAGATGAAGCATAAAAAAGCAATAGGCCCAGACGATATACCAATCGAAGTGTGGAAACTTTTGGGAGAGACAGGTATAACATGGCTCACTGACCTTTTCAATAGGATTTTGAAAACGAAGAAGATGCCAAATGAGTGGCGAACGAGCACTTTGGTGCCTATTTACAAGAATAAGGGCGACGTACAAAATTGCATGAACTATAGGGGTATTAAGCTAATGAGCCATACAATGAAGCTCTGGGAGAGAGTCATTGAGCATAGATTGAGGCAAGAGACACATGTTTCGGACAACCAATTCGGGTTCATGCCAGGGCGCTCAACCATGGAGGCAATCTATCTCTTACGAAGATTGATGGAAAGATATAGAGATGGGAAAAAGGATTTACACATGGTCTTTATAGATTTGGAAAAAGCGTATGATAGGGTCCCAAGAGACATTCTTTGGAGGATTTTAGAGAAGAAAGGAGTACGAGTAGCATATATCCAAGCTATAAAGGATATGTATGAAGGAGCAAAGACTGCCGTAAGAACTCATGAAGGACAAACCGAAAGCTTTCCCATAACTGTAGGATTACATCAAGGCTCATCCTTAAGTCCTTACCTTTTTTGCGTTGGTAATGGATGAGTTAACAGGACATATTCAAGATGATATTC